TGTTTCAGGAAAAATGGTTTGGCAATGGGTGTTACAAACATTTGAATACCTAATATGCATAATACGTTGTGTTGTCCATTTGTTTTCATATATCAAAGTAATTAATAGTTGTTGCTGTTCAATGTACGGATGTGTGTGTCTGTGAGGCTTTACTGCCAGGGAGAAAATCCCGATCAGGTGGTTTCCTGGACTCTTAGAAGTTTGGCCATGACACCTGTTTGAAAGTGATAGTTTACCCATTTGATGCTAACACTCTGAGAAAATTTAAGATGGTACATTCAGATGTGTACCGTTTTCCCATTCCTACAGGCAAATAATAATGTTGTTGATATGCCAGTCAATATAAGAATGAGGGAAAAGCTGTTTTTATCATATAAGAAGAAAATCTGTTCCATCTTAATAGCTTTCAACCAGGCGACTTTTTCCTCAACAAACCATGTTCTGATAACAGTCACTTTTTTAACAGTGCAGTATAGGAAGAACATTCTAAGACAGTACATTGAACGCTATGCAATGTGGATCAAGTGATCTAAAGTTTTCTTGCTTTCGGGCACATCATTCAAGTTTAAGAAGGTTGTACTAGAAGGGCTTGCAGTTGATGGGTCAAAGAGGCCAGAAGTAACTTACCTTTCAAAGTTGTTTATATGTAACTTTTGCAAAGTCTATGTTAGGCGATTCTTGTTTCCATTTTTTTTCTTTTGACATATACACATAGCAGAGCCTTATCATTATTTAGATGAACATTTGTCAAGAACAAAACCAGCTTGTATAACATGTACTTACTAGTTAGGCAATCCCTAGTTGTCGGAGTATGGTGGCCCTCCAAGTGTAGTGTCTTGGTGGTGGATACATAGGTGACTGTGGAGCTCTATTCTTAACCCATATATTCTTCCACAATGAGGACATGGGTTTCCAGGTGGAGGGTGGTCCTTGTCAGGTTTGACTTGAAGCACCTTCCTCTTGTGACATTTCTCCCATTCGCCCTCCATTTGTTCCTCTTCAAATTCCACAGCACTGCTGGTCGCAGCTGACTCCAGTTATCTGTGACCATGTGTAACATTGGTGTGATACAGTATTGTTTAAAAGCCCTAACACAGGTATGGGCAAACTTTGGCCATCCAGGTGTTTTGGACTTCAACTCCTACAGTTTGGCTGTTAGGAATTGTGGGAGTTGAAGTCCAAAACACCTGGAGGGCTGAAGTTTGCACATACCTGCCCTAACAGAATAAGTACTGAGAGGAGAAGCAAGTTTTCCTATAGCATAGTCTGCCCTGTGTTTTTAGATTTCAAAGACTTAAATTTCTTGCTGAAAGAGAATCTATGTGCATGGAATATCCTTTCATTTCAACATAACTCACTTCTTGCACTCAAAACTATTCACAGCAACCTTTGATGTTTTTGATTAGTTTTGCCACACTTGTCTGCCTGTTGTTGTTATGTAATAGAAATCCTTCCTAAGATTTAGGACTTTTTTTTTTACTGATTGAGTTGGATAACCTATGTTTACTTACCTGGAGTAAATTTCACATAACTCAGTGGAGCTTTCTTTTGTATAGGATTGCTGTGTCAAAATGGCAATTGTGATAAGTGCATTTCAGGGAACACTGGTTAAGTTACAATTTCAAATATGAATTCCTTTCTTTACTCCATTGTTATATAATAGAAATTAAAGTCAAATAAGAGTAGATGAGCTTTTATATTTATCATCTATTTTTTCTTTTTTAAAAATCTTGGCATTAAAGTAAAATGTTATTTGCTTTGTAATATTGTATATACCGTTATCTTTTTAGACAGAGTATCTACTTCCCTGTAATACTTGCATATCTTGACATTCCATGTCTTCAATTCTTTTAGGGATTCCCAAACTTAAGACCAGTAAAAATTCAGGTCTAAGTCTTACAGTTTTATCTTGTCCCTGCGTTTCTTATCTCTCAAGTGGTTTTTCTTTACCTTTTCCCTTTGCCGGTGAGGATCTCAATTTGGATATCACAGTGGAAATACATTGCATAAGAGAATTCACTTGCTGTCCTCAATGAAATCAGAGCTGTGAGCTGAATTGGGTCCTTCCATTAAGAATTCTCTTGGCATTCCTCAAAGACTTGTTTTATGCTCAGGCGGCCTTTTAAAGTTCTGACCGTATTAAGAGTAGAAAAGGGAGCTAGTCTGTTAACGCAGTCTTTTCATTACTCTAGATAATAAAATTTTTCTGTGACCCATTAATCTCTACTGTGTATCCCAGAAAGCCTCCAGATCTAGCGTGAGAAACAATTTCTGTTTCTCTCCTACAGAAATAAGTTCTGTAATTATTTTTCTGGCCAGAGAATCAGGAAATACCAAAGAAAATTATGTCTGTTTAGAAAGTTGCCAAAGCCTTTGCCTGTGAGGAGATCAGCTGTTAGTTTCTTTTTAAAAAGAAAATCCTCTGCTTTTTGAGTCCCAAACATTGCCGAGTTCCTACAAAAATCCTGAGAATAACATAAAACTGGAGGTGAGGAAATGGGACAGGTCTGCTGTAGTTTATGCTCCTGCTTATATGGATATCTGTCAGATTGCTTTCCACTTGCTAGGGTTAACAGTATAATACCCAGGAATGTGTGCTGTTAAAAAATTCATTGTGCCTATATCCTGCTTTTTAGAGCAGACAACGTGAAAGCTACATATTTAAAGTAGTGAAACCTGTACTTCGGGTGGACACAGGATGGAAGGAAAGCTGTGCTTAACCTTTTTTTCCCAACCAGAGATTATTTTTCTTCACAGCATCCTCTCTTCAATGCCCCATGTCCTGGGAACGTTTAGGTTTCCAAATGCTTTTAAGCTCTTGGAAAGACACTGAAGTTTTGATACATGTAATAGTTTGCTTCTGAGATAGGACTTCAAGTGTAGGGATCAAAGCCACTATTAATTCTGAAAATGTTCAGTGTCCAGTGTCACTAGACCATTATCAAAGCCTAAACATTTCATGAGATTCAGAATACACTAATTCTTTGAAAACATGTGTCGTTTAAGGTGTACAGTATAAACTCTATACCTCGTTCTCAAGAGATCATAGATTGTTCCTTAACTCTGCAACTACTAAGCATGCTCCATCTCTATAGTACTTGCCTGAAATCTATAAGGAGTTACTCTGACTTGAAACCATTTTTCACACTACCTTATAGCAAAATTGATTTTTCTACTTTAAGTGCACCCTTGCTGGAAAGCAGCAGTCAATTCTAGATCCTTTAAAATGTGGCTAGAGTATATAAGGTGACATATTTACATACATAAAATTATTTGTATTTACATATATTTTTCAAGCTATATCAAATATGTTCTTAAAACAATGTGTGAAATTCTGAAGTGTTATTTCAGTAGGGTGGACCATAATTGTATCTACTTTATATAGTAAATATATTATAATTTATAGCTTTAAATCTCAGAATCTATATATATATATATATATATATATATATATATATATATGCAATTTTAAAACATACAGTGAAGATGAAATGTTAGCCTCTGAGCTCTCATTCTGCAGGCAAGTAACATACCTCCTTTTTGCCCAGACCTTTGAATGTTAACTGTTGCAGAAGGTCTTTTAATTGGGGGAGGGGGGTATTGTTTTTCCATTTGTACTTTTATCAATTCTAATATTTTGTAACAGCTTTTCAAAAAAACTTTTAAGTTAATGTTTTTAATATTATCATTTTAAACTTTTAAAAACTTTGGTACTATTTGTTGTTTGGATTGTATTTTGTTTTAATTCAAATTGTTAGCCATTTTGGGGACTATATTGGGAGAAAGAGCATTTTAGGTAAATAAATAAATACAATTTACTTTTATTTCAATACATTATTGCTTACAATAGAATTGGATACAAAACTTTTCCCACCTATATTTGGGCACAGTTAAAATGCTGTTGCTTTCTATTTGGCTATATTTCAGTGATATGTACAGGCAATTTAGGGAAAGACAAATACAGGCAATTCTTGAGTTGCAAACATCCGATTTACATTTGACTCCTAGTTAAAAATAAGGGCGAGACAACAGAAAGGAAGAAGAAGCCTACTCCAAGGAAGGGAAAGTCATTTCTCCAAGAGTTAGCATGAGAATAGGTGTCTCCTCTGAAAGTTTATCACCAATCCTTGTTTCCATGACAACCCAAAATTCTCAAAATCCATTTGTCACAGGGACAGAAAGTGAGGTGAAATCTTCTGATTAGGGGCACAATCAGCAAGATAAACATTGCAGGGGTGTTAACCATTCAATATGCTATCCAAAAGTAAAAAGTAAATGGCTAGAGTTACACGTAAAAAATATGCCTGTTTCAATTTACAGACAAATTCAATTTAAGAAAAAACCTACAGAATGTGGGGACTGCCTGTACACAATTTACTGGGGGAAAATGTGTTTGTGTCCCCAAGGGCTTCAGCAATTAAATACAAAATTTCCTCATACAGATACTATCTACGAATTTTAAAAAATGGCTAAAAGAAAGTAAAACTGGTAGGAAGCCATTGGTCCTACACATGATTTGAACTTTAATTCCCAGAACTCTCAGCCAGCATAGCTCATGGTAGTCGCCTTCGCTGTGAGTCGCCTTCGGGCTTGGGATACAGCGGTATATAAGCAAAGTAAATAAATAAATAAATAGGGATTATTATGAACTCTACCCCCAAATAAATGGAGTTCCATAGGTTCCCCTGCATGGAAAACAATTATGCAAAAATATTAGATTATACGATGTATAACTTCTGTATGCATCCATGGAGATACAGGCTGTCATTTTTGTGTTTTGTGTTATCTGTATGCTGAAAACATTCAATTCTATTTTTCCTTCCACCAAAACCCAAAACAGTGGGGATGGGTGGGTGAGCAAGCAGGAGGCAGGGTGGCAAGTGGGGAGCAGATGACAGCATGGTACCAGGAGAGAGGGCACTGCGTGCCATAGTTCACCACCACTGATATAGAAGGCTACATGTAAACAGTTGATTGAATGAATTGTGTTTTTTTAACAGACAAATATCTTCATACAACTCCATTGAAAGTCCATGTTGACCAAGTCTGCATAAGAGCCAGCAAGCAAATCCCACATCCTGAGCAACTGCTCTAGTCGGAAGGCCACAGTGCTTCATCAAATGTAAGTTAGTTTTAATATGTCCATTATTTTACCTGTAAGTCATATTAAATTCCTTTTGTTGGGGGGGGGGTATTTATTTAGCCAAAATAAAATTATTGTAGCACATAGAAAACATTGACCTTACGTATGATTTTGTATTAGATGAAGGAACTCGTCACATAGGGTACACATTAAGGAGACCAACATGTTTAACAACCTGAGCCCCACTTCACGTATGATAAAATTTCTATAAAGAGCAACACAACTCATTTCTTACACATATACCTGGAATGCTTGTGTTGTGCAGGGAAGCCACAGTTGGCTTCATAGAGCAAATATAATTGCAGGACACAATGAGAAGTACATACATGGGCAGTCATCATGGGGGACATTCTTAATTCAGCTAGTTAATAGCTGACAGATTTCCCCCCTGTCCTAACAGAGATTAGTACTCTAGTTCAGAGCGGCCAAGGCCATATACAAACACTGAGACCAGTTTTCAAATAAGACAAGACATAATTTTCACTTCTACCTACATTTGCAGAATGTTAGCTCTATTTAGTCTGCATGTTTCTGTGTGAACATTGGGAGAATCTGAGTACTGTACTAACTTGTTTAACTTTGTCATCAGCCATGTGAGGTGGGAAGAATGCAGCTCTTTGCTGTCCCCAGAAGAATTGCCTTTTTAGAAAGAAACAGTGTAAACCCTTTTAAAATATATTTGAAATATCTCATATGTCATTTTTCCTTCCAATGCTAAAGTGTTCACCTCCCTTTTCCGAAAAGAAGCAAAAATGCTTTTATTCTGATGACAGTCACTACATCCTGACATATAAGTATACAGTTGTGGAATTACTTTTCAGCAGCAATGTAGAAAATCAGAGTATGTGCTACATTGCACACTTATTTTTCATACTGCTAATGGGAAAGAAGCATTCCTTCCATTGTGCCCCACAAAATCTGGAGAAGCCTCATAGACTCATAGATGTCACTACATTTTAGTTAGTTTTTTTTTCATTATCAAAATTAATACCTGATCAAAATCTAACTTCCTGTAAATTGAGTCATAGAATCATAGAGTTGGAGGAGAACTCATGGGCCATCCAGTCCAGCCCCCTTCCAAGAAGCAAGAAAATTATATTCAGTCTACAGGACATTTCTTTCTTCTTCTGCATAGCAGGTCTTCAAGTATTTGTAGAGCACATAAAGTCCATTCACAGTAGCTCTCCTCCACTCGAAACATAGTTCCTACAGTCATTCTTCATAATATCTTCCAGTTATTATCTTAATTGTCCTCCCCTTTTCATTCCAGTCTTGAAGTATTTTACTGAGAACTGGGTAGAGTACTCTCTAGGGCAGTGGTTCTCAACCTGGTGTCCCCAGATGTTTTTGGCCTACAACTCCCAGAAATCCCAGCCAGTTTACCAGCTGTTAGGATTTCTGGGAGTTGAAGGCTAAAAATATCTGGGGACCCCAGGTTGAGAACCACTGCTCTAGGGAATACCTCCAGATTTGGTAGTTGGTGTTCCTAAATACTGCCAATCATTGATCATCTGCTGCAAGAAAAAAGGGAGGGTGCCCATTCTTCAAAAAGAAATCTAGTGTTTCTTTGTATGTATTGGGGTTTTTCGTTGTTATTGTATTTTGTTGTTATTGTTTTGTTGTTGTTGTAAGCCACCCTGAGTCCCTTTTGGGAGAGGGGGTGGGATACAAATTATTATTATTATTATTATTATTATTATTATTATTATTATTATTATATTTCTCACTATATTTTTTCCATAGAGGACAACACTTTATAATTATAGTCATTACACTTAGCTGTTCCCCTCCATCCCACATTGTTCAGAAGGTTCCCACTAATATTCTAGGGAGTTTTGAGACAGAGGAAAATGAATTCAAGTTCTTTCTTGAATTTCCTTAAGTTAACTTACTTTAAATTCAAAATAATTGGCATTTTGATTTTTAATTTGTGTGAGTGTGACATAAATAAGTTGATTTTGCCTGTTTGGCTTTTGAGCGTATCTTAACAGGTTGTGAACATCAGTTCTTTAGCAGAGGGATGGCAGAAAGGGATAAAGAAGGCAGGGGTAGTCATAATCAATTACATTTTCATGCAGCTGTTATAATAACAAGATAGGCTGATCATTATGAAATTATAATTCAAGGGTAATATATTGTGTGGTAAATCAACACAATATAATTTGATAACTCATTCATTCAAGATGTGGTCTTTTCTATGAAGATTTAAGCTTGGTTTTATACCGAAACCATCAGTGGAACAGTAATTGCATTTTGTTCAGCTCAGACAAGCCTTGAGTTTATTCTGCAAAATGAGAATAACCGTGGAAATGTATACTATCAGGTCTTATTGGGGTTTATTTAAAAATTTGGTTGAGTGACTTCCAGGGAATTTTATTACCTGTGGAAATCATCTTGTTTTCCAGGGGATTAAGAGACCCCATGTCTACAGGAGTTTTTGTTGGTGTAGAAACAGAGTATTCTACAATATCCACCATTCAGGAACTACAAAACACGTGTTCAGATGAGGCAACAAATTGGTTTTGAATAGCTTACAGACCTGTTTTTCTACGAAAAAAATGTAATAAACATAATTTCTGTGTCTTGAAAATATTACCACTATTATTTCCAATTGTAACAAAACATAGTTGTTTTGAACCTCAAAACAAGAAATAAGCAAACACACATAAACCCTGAAGGGTATCAGGTGTTTTTATATGTTTGTGAGAAGGTCTGGTGTTCATGATATTGTGGGTTAATTTTCAACTTCAGTAACAAAATAAGGGAAATGTCACCCAGTAAACGGCTACTCCTTGTGCCAGCCAGCCTATGGACCAGAACAGGTCATTTGGATTAGGGGGATTTGGGGTAGGTGGAGGCTATTCATGAATTATTTCTATAACTCAGCAACAGTGTTTAACACTTTTTATATTGCTGTAAAATACTTGGCTCACAAATCTAATTCTTTGGGGAGTCCATGATAAAATATGACTCTGGGGTATTACTGTATCCTCTCTAGTGGAATGAGGATAATAGTTGCATGCTGTTTAAACCACGTGTATCAATGAGGAATGCATTTTGAAAAAACACCCAACATTATCAACCAGAGTTTAAAATGGTGGTAAGCGTGCCTGAGACAACAGTCTTCTTCCACAGTATAAAGTTTAAGTTGCGTTGTGCCAGGCCAATGTGTGCACTTGGGTTGTAATGTTTTAGCACATCATTACAGCCCCAATGGCACAATGGGTTAAACCCTTGTGCCAACGGGACTGAAGACCCAACAGGTCAGACGTTCGAATCTGGGAAGAGCACGGATGAGCTCCCTCTGTCAGCTCCAGCTCCCCATGTGGGAACATGAGAGAAGCCTCCCACAAGGATGGTAAAACATTAAAACATTCTGGCGTCCTCTGGCAATGTCCTTGCAGACAGCCAATTCTCTCACGTCAGAAGCGACTTGCAGTTTCTCAAATTGCTCCTGACATGAAAAAAATTACATCATATAGGTGACACATTTTAAAGAATTATGGCTGTACAAACATGCAGGTACCGGATGGGAATAATGCAGTGCCTCAGTTGTTGTTAAAGTGAAATTCCTAACTTTTTTTTTTAATTATAAGCCATACAGACTAGGGCTGTTGGTACTTGTAGTCCAACAATATCTAAAATATACATTACTCCCATCAGGACTTCTTAAACTTTTTCCACTTTCAATCCCTTTCTGCCTGAGAAATTGTTATGCCGTTCCAGGTATATAGGTATATAAAATAGGTATATAAATCAAATATTTACTGATAGTAAATCAGCATTAGCAAGGTTTGCTAAACAGGCTGGTTTTCCTTTTTATGAAGTAGAGTTGAAGTATTTTCTGCAGAGTCCACAATGAACACTGCACATTGTTTCTAACATATTCATGTAAATGTCTAAAACAACCACTAGATGATATTTAAAAACCACTCACTTTTGCCATTTTTTGAATCATCTTTTTCTTATGGGACTGTATTTGGGGTTGAAACCTACACTTTAAGAAGAATCAGCACTCTAGACCAGGCCTGCCTAAACTTTTCCCACTCCTGATCACTTTCAGCCTCAGATATTTTTACATGTTCCTGGGTATATAGGTCTATAAAGTAAAGTAAAGTAAAGGGAAAGGTTTCCCATGACATTAAGTCTAGTCAAGTCTAGACTCTGGGGGGCTGGTGCTCATCTCCATTTCTAAGCTAAAGAGCCGAATGGAGTGTCATTACCTTCCCACTGGAGCAGTACCTATTGGCCTACTCATATTTATATGTTTTCGAACTGCTAGGTTTACAGAAGCTGGGCCTAACAGCAGAAGCCCACCCCGTTCCCCGGATTCAGACTGCCAACCTTTCGGTCAGCAAGTTCAGCAGCTTAGCAGTTTAACCCACTGCACCACTAGGGGGCCCTAGGCATAAAAATCAAACATTTACTGATAATAAGTCAGCATTAGCAAGGCTTACTAAACATGGTGATTTTCTTTTTTATGGTGTACAGCTAAAGCATTTTCTGCATAGTCTACTGTAAACACTGTACATTGTTGATAACAGATTAATATAAATGTCTAAACATTTTTACCGTTGCCTTTCTTTTTTTCTTTTTCTTTTCTTTTGCAAGCCCATTGTTGAGCTAACAGCATTGAATTTGTGGTTGGGACTAACCGTTTAAGAAGTAGTGCTCTAGGCCACCTTTTGGACTACTGTTTTGTTCAATAAGTTTGCTATTATCACGTTATAGGAATTACATGCAAATAACAGAAATACCAAAGGACTGGACAGAGAAATAATTGTGTTTTTTAAAGTTTAGCATAGCATATTTTCTCTTGTTATTTGCTGATAAGTCCATTCCAGCTTACTCTGAGCCTATGAATGCCATCTTCCTCTTTTCCTACTATTTTCCACATTGTCAAACAGAATCTTTTTCAGTGATATGTCCAAAGTAGAACAGTCTCAGCTTCGTCCTCTTGGCTTCTAGGAGGAGTTTTG